GATTTGTCAGACATGACTTCCTGCGCACAAATCCATGCTGACTATCCCCAATCAGACCTTGACTATCCAAATGTTGGTTGATCATGTGCCTCAGTATCCTCTCCAATAATTTACCTGCCACTGATGTCAGGCTCACTGGCCTGTAGTTCCCTAGCTTGTCTTTACTACCTTTCATAAACAATTGAACAACATCAGCCACCCTCCAGTCTTCTGGAACTTCACCAGTGGCTAAAGATGAAGCAAAAATCTCTGCAAGGGCCTCTGCAATTCCTTCCCTAGCCTCCCACAATGTCCAAGGATGGACTTGATCAGGCCTAGGGGATTTACCCACTTTAATGCACTTTAAGGTTGCAAACACCTCCTCTCTGCTGATATGTATGCAGTCCAAAACATCCCCACTTGTTTCCCTTATTTCCTTAGCATCCATGATTCTCTCCTCAGTAAATACTGAGGAGAAATATTCATTAAAAAATTTCCCCCATCTCCATACATAGATGGCCATGCTGATCTTTAAGAGGACCTGTTCTCTCCCTTGCAACCCTTCTACTCTTAATATAGCCATAGACACTCTGGTGATTATCTTGAACATTATCTGTCAGATCCATCTCATACCCTCTTCTTGCTCTTCTGACTTTCCTCTTATCTGTGTTCCTACACTTTTTATAGTCAACTTCAGTTTGACTTGAGCTTGGTAGCTTAATCCCAATGTATTCCTCCTTTATTTTCCTGGTCAGTGCTTCAACATCCCTTGTAAGGCAGGGATTCCTAAACCTGCCAGCTGTATCCTTCACCCTAACAGGGACATACTATCCCTGGACTCTTGATATCGCACTTTTAAAAGCCTCCTATTTGCCAGTCGCTCCTGTTCCTTCAAACTGACTCACCCAATCAACCTCTGCTAGATCCTGCCTAACGGCCCCAAAATTGGTTCTGCTCCAGTTTAGCACATTAATCTGTGGATCTGTCCTATCTTTTTCCATAACTATGTTAAAACTAAGACAGTTATGGTCACTGGACGCAAAGTGCTCTCCAACTGACACTTCAGTCACTTACCGGACCTTGTTTCCTAAGAGGAGGTTCAGTGTTGCACTCTCCAAGTAGGGCCCTCTACGTATTGTTTTAGGAAACTTTCTTGGACATATTTGACAAATTCCACCCCGTCTGGGCCTTTTACACTCTGGCTGGCCCAGTCAATACAGGGGAAGTTAAAATCTTCAACCAATACTACTGTTATTATTCCTACAGGTATCTTCAATCTCTCTACACATCTATTCCTCTCGTACCTGCTGGGTATTTTGATTGGGGGGAGGGTGGTGGTGGTGGTGGGGGTCTGTAATACAGTCCCAACAGAGAGACCATCCTCTTCTTGTTTCTAAGTTCTAACCATATGGCCTCATTTGATGACCCCTTAAGAATATCCTCTCTAGGCACTGTTGTTACTTCCTCCCTTATCAAAAGGGCAACACCCCTCCTTGCTTACTTGTACTTCTGTCACTCCTGTAACTTCTGTGAAATGAAACATTGAGATGCTAGTCCTGCCCTTCTCTCAGCCCTTTTTCTGTTATGGCTATCTCAGTCCCCAGAGCCAATCCATGCTCTGAGTTCATCTGCCTTACCAGTCAGGCCTCGTGCATTGAAATAAATGCACTTTAAACCAGAAGTCTTTTTCCTCTCTTTACTGTGCTCCTGGCTATCCTGAATAGTAAACTTGCTCTCGATGGCTTATGAATTTTGTCACAAATTTGATTTGAGCTTTTCGAAGGGGTGACCAAGAAAGTAGATGACAGCAGTGCAGATGTTGTCTACATGGACTTTAGCAAGGCCTTTGAAAAGGTACCACATGGTGGGTTGTTAAGGTTAAATCTCACAGGATCCAGGGACAGCTGACCAATTGGATACAAAATTGGCTTGAAGGTTGAAGACAGAGGGTGTTGGCAGAGGGCTGTTTGTCAAGCAGGAGGCCTGAGACCAGTGGTGTGCCACAGAGTTCGGTGCTGGGTCCACTGTTATTCATAATTCATAGAAATATGATTTGGATGAGAATTTAGGAGGAATGGGTACTAATTTTGTGGATGACACCAAGTATGGTGGACAGCGGAAGGTTAAAAACCGAAAGAACTGCAGATACTGGAACTCACAAAAACAGAAATCGCTGGAAAACTCAGCAGTTCTGACAGCATCTATGGAAAGATACCAGAGTTAGCTTTTCGGGTCAAGTGACCCTTCCTCAGAGTTAATGTCAGCCTGTCAGTTCTGAGGAAGGATCATCGACCTGAAATGTTAATTCCGATATCTCTGCACAGATACTGCCAGATCAAATGATGAAGGTTATCTGGGAAAACAGCAAGATCTCAATCAACTGGACCAGTGGGCTGAGGAATGGAAGATGGAGTTTAATTTAGATAAACGCAAGGTGTTACATTTTTGTAGGTCAACCCAGGGTAGGATTTACACAATCAATGGTAGCGTCCTGGGGAATGTTATAGAACAAAGAGATCTAGAGAATCAGGTTCATAACTCCTTGAAAGTGGAGTCACAGATAGAAAGGGCAGTGAAGAAGGCTTTTGGCATGCTTGTTTTCATCTGTCAGAGTATTGAGTATAGCAGTTGGGACGTCTTGTTGCAGCTGTACAAGATGTTGGTAAGGCCACATTTGAAGTACTGTGTGCAGTTCTGGTCGCCCTATTAAACTAGAAAGAGCGCAGAATAGATTTATTGGGATGATACCTAGACTGAAAGGCTTGTGTTAAAAGGAGAGGCTGGATAGGCTGGAACATTTTTTCCTTGGAGCGTTGGAGACTGACAGATGACTTTATAGAGGTTTATAAAATCATGAGAGGCATAGGTAAGATAGAGAGCCAACAGCTAGGGGAGTCTAAAGCTAGAAGACATAGATTTAAAATGAAAGGGGAGAGATACAAAAGGGTCTAGAAGGGCAATTTTTTCACAAAGAGGGTGCTGAACATCTGGTAACAGCTGCCAGAGGCAGTGGTGGAGGTGAGTACAATTTTGTCATTTAAAAAACATTTGGACTAGTACATGGTTGAGGTAGGTACGGCGGGAAATGGATCAAATGCAGGCAAACAGGACTACATCAATTGTGAAAACTGGGCAGCATGGACAAGTTGGGCCAAAGGGCCTGTTTTTATGCTGTAAACCTCTATGACTCTATGAGTGACTGCCCACATCCTGTGAATGCATTTTGAAAACTGCACTTTTAATATAGTCAAGAATCCTGCATATTTTTATACTTTTTTCCACTTGCTCTGCCTTCAAAACCTACATAAACCAACAAGCCTCTCCGCTCCTGCACCTGCTTAAAAATTGTATAATTCAGTTTATATTGTCTCATTGTTTCCATCAAAATGCATCATTTCCTAAACTTTTATAAAGTTGCATCTGTCATACATCTGCTTATTCCACCAGTCTGCTAATGGCCTTGTGGTATATTTTACTGGGCTCTCATGTTGTTTTCAAGTTTTCAAACTTTTCAAGTTTGCATCATCTACAAACTTTGAGGTTCTGCTATGAATACCCAAGTCCAAGTCATTAATACATATTTTAAAAAGGCAACGTTCCTTGCAATAAACCCGAGGCCATTACATTTCCTTCTATTCTGAAAAGCAAACCACTGCTATACCAAACAGGAACAGGCCATTTAGCCCACTGTGTCTGCACCAACCATGATGTCATTCTAAAGTAATCCCATTACCTGCACATGTTCCTTATTCCTCTATTCCCTGTGTCTGTCGAAATGCCTCTTAAATGTTGCTATTGTATCTGCTTCTATCACTCCCCCACCCCAGCAGTGCATATCAGGAACCTACCACATCCTGAGTGACAAAAAAACTTACCTCACACATCTTTAAACTTTCTCCCTCTCACCTTATATCCCCTTGTATTTGACACTTCCACCCTGAAAAAAAGACTCCAACTATCCACCCTATCCAACTGCACACAAAACTCCACATTTGGCCTAACTAAAGTTTTATACAGCTGTAACATTACTTAGCAACCTTTATACTCAATGACCCAACTGAAGAAGGCAAGCATTCTGTACCACCTTATCTCCTTGTGTTGTCACTTTCAGGAAGCTATGGACTTGCACTCCAAGATCCCTCTGTATATCAATGCTCCCTTAGGGTCCTGGCATTTACTGTATACTTTCTTCTTGAATTTGACCTCCAAAAATGCATCACCCCACACTTGTCAGCATTAAACTCCAACTGCCACTTCTCTGCCCAACTTCCATTTGATCTATACCCTGTTATATTCTTTGACAACCTTCTTCACTATCCACAACTTCACCAATGTTCGTGTCATTTACACTTTTTAATCAGGCCATCTTCATGTCCATCCAAATCATTTATATATATTACAAACAACAGAGGTCCCAGCACTGATCCTTGCAGAACACACTGGTCACAGAGCTCCAGTCAGAAAAACGCCCATCCACAACCACTCCATGACACCTTTCCATACCTACTCTCTGAATAAACATTTGACTATATATCAAATGTATTTAATCAGCTGTAGAACAGTCTGGGCATCCTGGAATCAACTAATAAGGGAGTCAAAGCTTATTAGGGGTAGTCAAGAATATGTTGAGGCCACATTCAGTCCATCCATGATTTTACTGAATGGCAGAGCTGGCTAGAGGGGTCAAATAGCCCATCTTTGTCTCAACTCATATATTGTGAAAGGCACTGTGCTAATGCCAATTTTTTAAATGCAGATTGAGAAACACAGTCCACCAGTGTATGGCATGTCTGTCACATCAGATTTATTATCTTATTTATTTAATTTATTTCAGGTTTATTGTTCACCTTAAACATACTACATCCCATATTAGTTAGTTTTCGCTCATGGGTTTCATGAGCCTGCTTCTAGGAGCGATGCTGAAAAATGTCTAAATCCTAACAGTGACAATGAAAAAACAATGAATCAACTTGAAATGAACTTTAATCATCTTACTTTAGAACCAGAACCAGCACTGAAGAAGAAAGGTGAAGAAATAAACAATGAGCTAGCAAATAGGTACTTAGGAAAATCATTGCCAGCGCATTACATTAATGAAACAGCTTATCCATTAACAGGTACTGATATAAAATTTGAATTGTTTGTAGTACTTAAGTGTCAATATTTTATTATCAAAATCAGAATGGTATCAGTTGAGTAACTTTTAATTAAATATTCTAATAATTACTGTTATGACAGACATTTTAATAAACTACAAAGTCCTATTGCATTCTGGTTAATTCTGGGCCTTTGCACCATAGATAGCAATCTCATTAGTGCACAGCTACCATCATATATGCACAACCAATTCCCATTCGGCCAACCACAAATTATAGGCAAAATAATTCAATTTCCAACCAATCTGCTTAAAAGAGGCACACCTTAGCTTTTTTTCAACTGAAAAATCTCAGAACAAACGTGCACAACATCACAGAGCATGTAACATGATTTAATATGTGCAGTGCCACATTGGGACTAAGTCCGTGCAATGTTGAATCAAAAAATAAAGTGCACTACACCAAATTAAATTCATAATGTGTGGTTTGATGACAAAATAATTGGCTGATGTTAAGTTTTGACATTGAAACATTTGTCATTAATTGAGTTTGTAATTTGTACATCATTGGATAATTTTAAATTTTAACATAGTAGTGTCAAATAGCAGCACAGGTACCAAAAATGCCTGGCTTTTGACAAGATTGATATATTGTGGTTGAGTCAGGGTCTGTAATTAAATGAGATACAGATCAGCTATGACTAAACTGAATGGTGGAATAGGATTGAGATACAGAAAATTTGCTGATGTTACTACGGCTGTATTAAAACATTAAACGTTATCTCAGCAGTGTCTACAACTTGCTAGATTTCCTGCAATAGTCTGTTAAAATACACAAAGATACCAAAGTCCAGCATCAAGGCTCGTTCAGCTAAGTGAAATGGATTTAGTGAGCATATGCTATAAAAACATTCTTTACATTTAACAGATAAACAATGTAAAGAATATGAAGCACAATTAGTGTATGAAATCACACTTCCAGTTTGTACCTATTCCAAAGCCAGATGGTAGAGAGAACTTTAAAGAAAACCAGAGCACAAAGAATAGATCCATTTGCAAATATGTAAAACAAGCCCAATCTCAAATGAATAAACACAAAACGAGTTCAGTCATACAAACATGACCTTGAGACAGATTTAGACGTTTTGTTAAAACTTAAAAAGTTAGGCAAGTAAATTTCTGTTCAGTTTTTAAGTCCTATATTCAACAGGGTTTTACTGAAAATGGACCATCCAGTTTAAAACCAGACAAAAGGTCACCCCAGAGAATAAAAAGCAAAGCTTGCCTGTAAACGGTATCTTTCAAGACCACATCTCAACATCCTTTACGGTCAATGAAAGACATTTGGAAATCTGTTTTAATGTAGGAAGCATGGTAGTTAATTTATACACAGAAAGCTTCCAGAAACAACAATGTGATAATGATCAGATCATTTATTTTTCTGATATTGTCTGTAGGAATAAATACTGGCCAGGGCACCAGCAATAACAAACTTCCTCTTCTTTAAAATAATTCCATGGAATTTTTTGCGCTCCCCTGAGGAGACAGAGGCAGCCTTGTTTTAATGTCCCTTCAAAAGATGGTGCTTTTTCAATGTAGTACTCAAGTACAGCACTGGGGTGCCAGCCTTAATTTTTATGCTCAAGTCTCTGGAATGAACTCAGTACTTTTTGACTGGGAGGTGAGAGTACTATCAATGAGCCACATCTGATATACAATTCATCAAAATACATAATTAAGCTGTGGGACTTAAGGTCTTGTAACAAACCAGAGATCCCCAACGTGCAGTGTGATTCCACATGGCTACACAGTTAACAAAGAGAGAAAACTGACTGAATAAACAGTTTGTAAACTCTAATTACAGGTACTCCTAGGTTGCAACACACCTTAACAAAGTATTAGAAACAAATATTCAAGTTAGTCCCACAAATGAATAAAGTCCGCAGATAAAACTGGATGTTACCACTGCACAAGTCCCTGACTTCCAGAGAACAGTGTCCTGCTGGAGTGCCCTTAGCATACATCAGCAGCTGAAGATGGAAGACTAGTTTAAGAATGGCTTTGGCTTCCTTTTCTCATGCGCACTCTCATTATATCTCATGTTTTAGTTACTTAATCACAATTTGTGAAAGTATGTGATTTGACAACATTTGTTCCAACGAAACACAAATCCTGAAGAAAAAGCACTTTGTAGCCAATAATCTTTATAAGTGGAGATTCTGTGATTCAGGTTTGACTGCATTAGGTCATGTGGCAGAGGATGGATGATGCTGAACTAAAGCTAAAACGGGGTTGTGTTCTCTCTTCATTTCTGGTCCATTATGTTTTTCAGGCATAGCTTCATATGTGAGTTTTTATTGCTCATCTGGATTACACAATCCCGCACAAGTTCAATGAAAATCTGAGGCCAGAGTTTCTGTAGAGATTCATTTTTAACATCAATAAGAGCAGCATCTTTAACCAGTTCCTGCACATATACTTGGCAAAACGTCTTTGTTTCCTGATTTTAAATATGGGAAAAAAGCAAAGGAAGGGTTAGTAAATAACTTATTATATATGTATATACATTTGTTTGTCAGCCCATGTTTTGCACCCTCTACACTCAATGCCATCCTCAGAGTTCTGGGTGAGGATATCTTACACGGGAGCTCTGTGATAGGGTTAGGTTGCATTTCTCTGTGACAAGACTGGGAACTCAAGTGCTTGACAGATGCAAGGTTGGATCTAATCATTAGAATGCTGGATTCATGCAATTCTTTTGTTACAAACAGTGGAAAAGTATATAAATCACTGTAGACAAAAATAATCAGATGGATTTGGTGTCTCTTCACCATTCAGCCCTTTCAGCTTGCTCCACCATTTAATATGATCATGGTTGATACTCTATCTCAGTGCCAGATTCCTGCTTTCTCTCCATACCCCTCGGTGCCTTTAATATCAGAAAACTTATCAATCTCTTTCTTGATTTAGTGACTTCGTCTCCACAGCCTGTAGTAGTGAATTCCACAGGTTGACCACCCTCTAAGTTAAGAAATGATTCCTCACCTCAGTCCTAAATGGCCTACCTCATAGCCTGAGGCTGTGTCTCTAATTCTAAACTCACCAAACAGGGGAAACATCATTCCTGCATCTAGTCTGAGTAGTCCTGTTAAAAGTTTACGTGTTCTAATCAGATCCCTTCTCATTCTTCTAAGCTTTGGTGAATACAAGCCCAGTCTCTCCTTATACGACTGCCCAGTAACCCCTGTATCAGTCCAGTGACTCTCCGCTGCACTGCCTTTATGGCAAATATATCTTAGAAAGGGAACCCAAAATTGCACTTCAGGTGTGGTCTTACCAAGGCCCTGTATAACTGTAGTATGGCATCCTTACTCTGAACTCAAATCCTCTTGCAATGGAACCCAAGAGACCATTTGCCTTCCAAATTGCTTGCTGGACCTGCTTGTCTACTTTTATTGAGTGGGTGTACAAGGACACCCAAATTCCTTTGTACATCCACATTACCCAATCTATCACCATTTAAATAACCACCTGCCTTTCTATTTTTCACACAAGCATGTATAACTTCACATTTATCATTTATACTGCAGCTACCATATGTTTGCCCATACACTCAACTTGTTTAAATCATGTTGAAGCCTCCTCGCATACCCCTCACAACTCACAAACCTATCCAGTTTTGTCAGAACTTGGATTTATTGCATTTGGCTTCCTCATCTAGATCAATTATAGATATTATAAATAGCTGGGGCCCAAACACTGAACACCCAAGCTCAGTACCCCACTAGATACTGTCACCCAGAAAAAAACACTCAGTTATTCTGTTTCCTGTCTGTCAAACAACTCTCAATCCTGCCACAAATTACTCCAATCCTATGTGCTTTTATTTTGCTCACCAGCCTCTTATGTGGGATGCATACTGGCTTTGTCCAATCCTGTTAATGCTTTCCAGCTGTTCTTTTATTACATCTTTCATAATACTCTGGCATTTTCCCCACTACTGATGCTCAGCTAACTGGTTTGTAATTTCCTGCCTCCTTTTTTAAATAATGAGGTTACATTTGCAATTGTTGGATAAGGATGCTTGCTACTAGACTTCAGTAAAAAAATTGCTTCACAGCTCACCAGAGAAAAGGCTGGAATTTCATACACTATACAGCACAATGTACAGGATGCATTTTAACTACCAGCGGCAAACTATTGTTTCACAAATAAACAGAAAAAAAATCACCTAAATCCCAAATTTTCTTTAAGATTTTAATGAACGGAAACGAAGACTTTTCGGAAAAATCCTAGCCACTGAAGGTGACAGATACGGAATTCTCTTATTCTTTGAATCTGCTGTATATCATCCACCCTACTGACTTATTAACAAAGTCGTGAAATTCATAGTGTGACGCTAAAGGTAACTGTGGGAGTGGAAGTTTAAATTCTCTTCTGCCAGGGTACACTATAGTTGATCTTTTATTCACTCATGAGATGCAGACATTGTTGCTTGGGCAAGCATTTATTGCCTGTACCTAGTTGCCTTTGATAAGATGATGGTGAGATGCCTCCTTGAACCGCTGCAGTCCATGTGCTGTAGATGGACCTATAATGCTGCTGGGGAGAGGAAAATCCAGAATTTTGATATAGTGACACAGAAGAAATGGTATTTTATGTCTAAGTCAGGAGGTGAGTGGCTTTGAGGGGAACTTGCAAGTGGTGGCGTTCCCATGTATCTGCTACCCTTGTCCTTCCAGATGGAAGTGATCATAGTTTAGAAGCTGCTGTCTAAGGAGTCTCGGTGAATTTCTGCAGTGCATCTTGGAAATGATACACACTGCTACTACTCAGCATCAGCAATGGAGGAAGTGAATGTTTGTGGATGTGGTGTCTATTAAGCTGGTTGCTTTGTTCTGGGTGGTAACATGCCTCTTGAATGTTGTTGAAGCTGCACTCATCCAGACAAGTGGGAGCATTCCATCATACTCCTGACTTGTAGCTTGTGGATGATGAACAGGCTTTTGATTGTCAGGAGGTATGAGGAATTGTGAATGGTGCTGAATATTGTACAGTCATCAGCAAACATCTCTACATCTGACCTTGTGATGAAGGGAAGGTCTTTGATGATTTGATTCAATTTGATTATTGTCACATGTACTGAGATACAGTGAAAAACATGAAGCAGTTGAGGATGGTTTGGCCTAGGACACTACCCTGGGGAACATCTGCAGAGATGTTCTGGATCTGAAATGACTGACTCATAAAAACCACAACCATCTTCCTTTATACCAAGTATGACTCTGATCAGTGGACAGATTTCCCCCAATTCCCATTGACTCCAGTTTTGCTAGAGCTTTTTAATGCCACAATCGGACAAATGGAGCCTTGATATCAAGGCAGTCACTTTCCCCTCACCTCTGGAATTCAGCTCTTTTGTCCATGCTTGAACCAAGGCTGTAATGAGCTCAGGAGCCGAGTGGCCTTGGCTGAACCCAAACTGGGCATCACTGAGCAGGTTATTGCTGAGTAGGTGCTGCTTGATTGCAGATGATTGAAAGTAGAATGATGAGTGGTAATTGACCAGGTTGGATTTGTCCTGCTTTCTGTACAGGAATATACTTCAGCAATTTTCCAAGTTGTTGGGTAGATGCCAGTGTTGACTGGAATAGGTTGGCTAGGGGCACGGGAAGCTCTGGAGCACAAGTCAATTGCCAGAGTATTATCATGGTCCATAGTCTCTGCAGTATATTCAGCGCCTCCATCCGTTTCTTGATATTACATGGACTGAATTGAATTGGCTGAAGACAGGTATCTGTGATGCTGGGAACTTGTATAGGAGACCAAGACAGATCACCAACCAGCATTTCTGTCCGAATATTGTTTTGAGTGCTTCACCTGATGTTTTGCACTAATATGCTGGGCTCTCCAATCATTGAGGATGAGGATATCTTTGGAGTCTCCTCCTCCTCCGGTGAATTTTTAAATTCTCCATCACCATTCATGTTGGGTGTAGCAGGATTGCAGAGATTAAATCTGATCCATTGGTTGTGGAATCTCTTAGCTCTATCACTTGCTGCTTATGTCACTGAGCACTCAAGTAGCCCTGTTTGTAGCTTCACCTGGTGCATAGCGCATTTTTAGGTAGATGTGATGATGCCCGTGGCATGTCCTCCTGCATAGAATCATACATTCAGGAGATGTCCTTTGGCCCATCCAGTCTGCATCACCAAAAATACACTACTACCTACTCTAGGTCCTATTTTCCCATACTAGGCCCATAGCCTTGAACGTTATGACACTTCAAGTGCTCACCCAAGTACATTTTAAAGGTTGTAACACTTCCCACCTCAGCTATCCTCCCAGGTTGTGCACTGTTCACTGAACCAGGGTTGATCCCCTGGCTTGATAGTTATGGTAGATTGGAAGATGTGCTGACCAATGAGATGGCAGATTGTGTTGGAGTACAATTTTGCTGTTGCTGATGGCCCACAGTGCCTCATGGATGCCTAGTCTTGAGCTGCTAGATCTGGTCAAAGCCTAAGCCACAGAATAGTGCCACACAACATGTAGTACTCTCAATATGAAGATGGGACTTTATGTCCACATGGACTGTGTGGTAGTCACTCTTACCAAAATAAAACAAAGAACTGCTAGAACTCTGAAAAGAAATAGAAAGTGCTGGAGAAAGTCAGCAGGTTTGGCAGCATCTGTACAGAGAAAAACACAGTTAACGTTTCACGTCCAGTGATGAGAGTCACCATTCCCTCACCACATACCACAGACACTCCAGTAGCAATTTTCTTTAGGACTCAACCAGTTCAATCAGTAGTACTGCTGCCAAGCCACTCTTGGTGTTGGACATTGAAATCACCCACCCAGAGTGCCCTTGCCACCGTCCGTGCTTCCTCCAAGTGTTGTTCAACATGTAGGAGCACTGATTCATCAGCTGAGGGAAGATGGTACGTGGTAATCAGCAAGAAGTTTCCTTTTCCGTGTTTGACCTGACACCATGAGACTTCATGGAGTCCAGAGTTAATGTTGAGAATTCCCAGGGCAGCTCCCTCCTGACTTTATATCACTGTGTCGCCACTTTTGCTAACATGTATTGTCAGTGGGACTGGGCATTCCTAGGGATGGAAATGGCGTTTTCTGTGAAACTGTGTAAGGTATCATTCAAGAATATGTTGCTTGACTAATTGTCTAATTTTGGCACTAGACCCCAGGATTTTTCAGGGTCAATAGAGTTGTGTTTCCTGTTGTCGTTTCTACTGCTTTAGCGGCCCCAGGTTCAGACCAGGTAAGGACAGCAGTTTCCTTCCCCAAAGGGATTAGTGTTCCACAGTGAATGAGATTGGGTTATTTTTATGAAATCTTTAATAGTTTCATGGTCATCATTAGATTTCGTTAATTGAATCAGATATTTTATTGAACTCAATTTACCTAACCCTAACCTATCTGCAGTTGCAGAATTTGAACTCAGGTTCCTAGAACATTACCTGGGTCTCTGAATTACTACTAGGCCACTCCTTCCCGTTGACATTTAACAGCATCTGGTTGGGAACAGTTACATTTCTTACCAGACACAAATTTACTAAAAAAACTACTCTGATGTTGTTTAAAATAACTGATGCATCATCAAGTCCAGCAGTCAGTAAAATAACTTTCACTGCAATTACTGGGCACCTTCACTGTTACCCACCTCTTCAACATTGTCAATACACTTTTTTGGACTGTGGACTAAAATTGGGAAATTATACGATTTTAAATCAGGGAAATTGTGTTAGAAGAAATTTGCAGTGTTTAGAATAATTTACTGGAGCACACTGTGAGCTGCATCTAAATCAGTGCCTTGGTGGAGCAGTGAGTGAGAAGTCCTGACAAGTCGACTCCACCAGTGAATGTTCAGGGCAGTTCTCTCCAGAGATTGTCTTTTGATTGGCTTTTCAATTGGCACCAGTTGTTGTGGGCTCAGGTAAATACAGCATATTAACAGTCTTCTGATTGGACAGGCTGCAGTTTTACATATAACCGGCGGTGGTGGTGTGGGGGTTGAAAATGAAAACAGAAGATGACAGAAGTTCTAGAAATTTGCAGCAACAACATCTGTCTCTCTCTCAACACGGTCTGAAACACAGTCTTCACCATATCTCTGTTGAAAGTGCAGAGAAAAACTACATTCAGAGATGCTGAAGGGAAGAATACCAATACCCACCGCAAAAGAAAGCCCCTGTGTCCAACCAGCAACCTATGAACTAAATACTGATCATCGCTCTGCAAATAACATCCAGGCATCATTGAAGAAGAGAAAAGGACCGTGGAACTAGTCCACTTAGTGTCACAGAGTCACACAGCAAGGAAACAGACCCTTTGGCCCAAATCATCTGTGCTGACCAGATATCCCAATCTGATCTAGTCCCATTTGGCAGCATTTGGCTCATTGCACTCTAAATCCTTCCTATTCATATACCCATACAGATGCCTTTTAAATGTTGGAATTGTACCCTCCTCCACCATTTCCTCTGGCAGCTCATTCCATGCACACACCATGCTCTGTGCAAAAAAGTTATATCACAGGTTCTTTTTAAATCTTTCCCCTCTCACACAGAATCCCTACAGTGTGGAAGCAGGCCATTCAGCCCAACTGTCCACATCGACTCTCCAAAGAATGCTCCACTCAGAATCACCCCCCCCACCCTACCCCTGTAACTCTACATTCCCCATGGCTGACCCACTTAACCTACACATCCCTGAACACTATGGGCCATTCCACCTAACCTGCACATTTTTGGGCTGTGGGAGGAAACCGGAACACCCAGAGGAAACCCACACAGACACACAGAGAACGTGCAAACTCCACACAGACAGTCGCCCGAGGCTGTAATTGAACCCGGGTCCTTGGTGCTGTGAGGCAACAGTGCTAACCACCAAGCCACTGTGCTGCCTTAAATTTATGTCCCCTAGCTTTGAACTGCCACACCCTCAGAAAAAGACCTTGGTTATTCACCATATCCATGCCCCTCATGATTTTATAAACTTTATAATTATAATGTCATCCCCTCAGTCTCTGACACTCTAAAGAAAAAAGCCCAACCTATTCAGCTTCTCCCTATAGTTCAAACCCTCCAGTCCCAGCAACATCCTTCTAAATCGTTTCTGCACCCTCTCAAGTTTAACAACATCCTTCTTATAGAAGGGCAGCCTGAATTATACTAAAAATGTCCTAACCAATGTCCTGTATAGCCGCAACAATATTCCAACTCCTATACATAGCATTCTGACCAATGAAGGCAAGCATGCCCAAACACCTTCTCCACTACCTTGTATGCCTGTGACTCCACTTTCAGGGAACTATGCACCTGCATCCCTAGGTCTCTTTGTTCAGCAATACTCTCCAGGGCCCTACCATTAACTGTATAAGTCCTGCCCTGATTTGCCTTATCAAAATGCAACACCTCATATTTATCTGGATTAAACTCCATCTGCCACTCCTCTACCCATTGGCCTATCTGATCAAGGTCCCATTGTACTCTGAGATAACCTTCTACACTGTCCACTACACTTCATATTTTGGCGTCGTCTGCAAACTTACACCATAACTCTTATATTCTCATCCAAATCATTTACATAAATGATTTATATGAATTATATATATAAATTCTGGATTGGTGATACAGAACTATGTTCCTTGGATTTTTCTTCCCATTCACTATATTTATGCTTGTCTTTACGTCCATGTGTGGGAGTGTAGGGAACTTTAAAATGGGCAAATTTTAACACAAATTACAAATCCTGTCCTTTTGCTGTTCTTGCTTAAGTTACACAGTTACAGATTAGGAATTCAGCTGGTTCACTTTTTACCATTGGTTAAAAAGAGCTTGATTAAATAAATAGCTTTTTTTTGTTAATGGAAAAAACCTGGTGTGCATATCTTTCTAACCCAAATTGAACAGTTAGGTAGAATTGAGCTATTTGGTGATTTAACCAAACATTCATTTTTGTGAAAAGTTGGGGATTGGTGGGGTTCGATTTCCAGAGCACTATGTCTAGTGAGCTGGGACAATATTAGTTGTGCAGTGAAAATATTGGCTCATGCTTACAGCGTACAAGTGGACAGCGATGGAGAAGGGGTTGGCTGTTAAATTATGTGAGAGGACATCAGGTCAGGTCCCAACAGGATCATACCACAATGTCCTCATGACAGTTCTTTGCAGTGGTTCATTTTCTGCCATTTTCAGTTTGCCACACAATAGGTGATGACACAGCTGCTACCTCAGAGCCGCCTTTGGAAGCTGAGTGGTTGGAGAAACTGCTGCCAGCTGTGAATTGGTCAGATGGCACAAGACGAAATTGCAAAGAGAGATCAGAGGAGGAGGAGGAGGACCTTCACCATCCAGTTCTATATTCACACCAAATCCCGAAAAATAATTATGGTCATGTAAACTTCTATGACTGTTAACCACAAAAACAACTTTTCGAACATGGGTCGTATCTGCAGAAAGTATTAAGAGCTGTTTTATTCTGGGAACAGAACTTATAGCTTACAGATCTGGAAATGGGATTAGCAGCAACTTGAGTAGATGAAATTGAGAGTATTACTGAATATCAGTCCATTGGTTCATTGTGGTTGTCTCTATAATGAAACCAGTACAATAGGTCCAGTGATACTACAGCAGTGCTTGTTGCGTATGGCATATAAAACAAATTAGGTGAGGCTGTGAAATTGAGGTAATGTCACTGGGCAGGTAATAAAGAACCCCAGGCTAATAATTTGAGTTCCAGATTTGAATTCCAGCATGGCCGATTGTGAATCTGAATTCAATAAAGTCTGAAAATAAAAGCTGGTCTAATGGCAAACATGTGACAATTGTTGTAAAATCTCATCTGATACACAATGTCTTTTAGGGAAAGAAACCTGCTGTCCTTTTATATGAGTCCAGACCCATAGCAATTTGACTGTCTCTCAACTGTCCTCTGAAATGGCCTAGGCAATTCATGGGTAACAGGGATGGGCACCCACATCCAATACAATAATAAAGAAATAATGATCAGTGTTTACCTTGAATTGTTCAGTGGTGATGTCCTTATTAGAGTAATTCATAATTGCTCGGCCCACTGTCTCACCTCCAAGCTTTATGCTGTCCTTAGACTCCTCCAGGGTTACCCCAGATTTCTTTCCTTTTCCCTCTAGTATGAAATGCAGCTGTTTCTTCCTGAGAAAACAGAAAAAAAAGTTATGAGTGGTTGTTGTAAAGACAGTTGATGGGTTGGTGGCCATCTTTCAAAATTCTATAGATTGTGCAATGGTCCTTGCAGATTGGCAGGTGGAAAAGTGCATTATTTTTAAGAGAGGGAAAACAGGGAGCCACACAGGGACAGTATTTTCTTTTGTGGTGATGACAGCTTATGTTACTTATTGCTGATTCATAGTATCAGCAAGCACTGAAACACAGGCTTCAATGGCAATATCTGCACACTATCAGTGTCAAAGCAATGGACTTTATTATAAAACCTACTAAGGAAGAAAAAGGATGCATATCATGCATACCAGAATAATAATAACAGCAGAAATCAGGAAGACTATTTCAAATACAGGAGAAAGGCTAAGAAGAAGCATGAGGAAAGGATGACAGGCTGTGCCAAAACAAATAACGTTCTTCAAGCATATTAATAGTAAACTTTAGTGAAGGATAGAGTGAGATTCATAAGGAACAAGCTGGGTAAGCTACTCACTGAAGCAAAGGATATGATAGAGGTACTAAATGAATATTTTGCTTGTCTTTCCCAAATTAGAAGCCTGTGACAGTGGCCTAGTCGAAAAGGTGGATGTTGACCAATTGAACAGTGTAGTGAAAGATAAACAAGTGTCAAAAAGGCTGACAGCACTCCAGATAGAAAAGTTGCTAGGCTCAGGTGGAATATATCCTAGAATGCTGAGAGAGTTAAGGCAGCAAATTGCAGAACCATTGACAGAAATTTTTGAGGCCAATCTATACACAGGATTAGTCCCTAGGGTCTGGAGGATTCCAAATGTGACACCAATGTTTAAGAAAGGGACAAAGGGTAACGGGGAAAATTACAGACCTGTCAGCTTAACATCAATAGTGGGAAAACTGATGGAGCCCATAATACAGGACAAGGTAAATATACGCTTAGAGAAAAATAAGTTAATACTAGACACTCAACATGGCTTTCTTAAGGGCAGGTCATGTCTGACAAATTTGGCTGAATTCTTTGATCAGGTGACACAGAGAGTGGACAAGGGCAGTGCTGTGGATGTTGTACATTTGGACTTTCAGAAAGCATTTGATATGGTGCTACATGGCAGGTTGGCTGGCAATTTAGAAATGTTTAGGATTGATAGGTCCTTGGCAGCATGGATCAGAAACAGAGGCTAAGTATTAATGGGCATTTCTTAGATTGGAGACAAGTTGAAAGTGGTGTTTCCCAGGGATCCATGCAGGCACCCTTGCTTTTTCTGATATAGATTTGGAAATAGGTGTTGAGGGCAAAATGTCTAAATTTGCAGATGATACTAAGCCAGGCAGAAGAGTGAATTGTAAGGATGATACTGAGGGACATTGACAAATTGGCTAAATGGACAAACACCTGGCAAATGAATTTAATGCAGAGAAATGTAGGGTAATGCATTTTGGGAGAAGAAACAAGGTGAGACAATACGGACTCAACGGTACAACTTTGGGGAGAGTACAGGAGCAGAGGGACCTCAGGGTTCACATTTATGATTCTCTGAAGGTGGCCAGGCAAGTTGTCAAGAAAACTTACAGTATCCTTGGGTTTATAAATAGAGGCATAGAGTTTAAAACAAGGAAGTGATGCTACACCTCTAGTGACATTATTGAAGTATTCAAAATTATGAACAATTTTAATGGGGTAAACAAAAATATTCTGTTTCAACAAGTTGGTACTTCAGTAATTACGGATCATAACTTCAATACTGTCAGCAAGAGAGACAGGAGTGAAATGAGGAGAAACCTCTTTACTCAGAGTCATAGAGTTGCACAGCACAGAAACAGACCCTTCAGATCAACGGGTATATGCCGACCAGGTATCCTAAATTAATCTAGTCTCATTTGCCAGCATTTGGCACACATCTCTTCTAAACCCTTCCTTTTCACGTACCCATCTAAATGCCTTTTAAATGTTGTAATTATACCAGCCTCAAGCACTTCCTCTGACAGTTCATTCCATACACACACCACACTCTGTGTGAAAAAGTTGCCCCTCTATCCTTAAACCTATACCCTGTAGTTTTGGACTCCCCTATCCTGGGGAAAAGATCTTGGCTATTCACCCTATCCATGTCCCTCATGATTTTATAAACCTCTATAATGCAACACCTCACATTTATCTAAATTAAACTCCATCTGCCTTTCCCTGGCTCAACGGTCCACCTGATCAAGGTCCCGTTGTACCTGAGATAATCTTCTTCACCATTCACATTAATTTTGGTGTCAACCGCAAACTTACTAACCATTCCTCCTTTTCTAAAATCCATATTACTCACGTAACTTTCAAAAAGCGGTGGACACAGCACCAAACTTTGCAGTCACAGGCTTCCAGTCTGATAAACAACCTTTCACTACCACCCCCTGTCAGCTACCTTCCAGCCAATTTTGTATCCAAATGGATAGTTCACCCTGGATTAAATGTGATCTAACCTTGTTAACCAGTCTACCATGCAGAACCTTGTTGAATGCTTTGCTGAAGTCCATACAACTTCTACCACTCTGCCTTCATCATTCTTGTCACTTTTCAAAAAACTCAATCAAGTTAGTGAGACACGATTTCCCATGCCCAAAACCATGCTGAAATCCCTAATCACTCCTTGCCTTTCCGAATACATGCAAATCATGTCCCTCAGAATCCCCTCCAACAACTTACCCATCACTGACTTCAGGCTCACTGGTCTATAAGTTCTCTGGCTTTTCCTTATCATCTTGCTTAAATAACAGCACCACATCAGCCACTGTCCAGTCTTTCGGCACCTCAGCCATGGCTATTGATGTACAAATATCGCATCAAAGGGCCTAGCTATCACTTTCTTAGCTTTCCACAAAGTTCCAGGATACACCTGATCAGATTCCAGGGATTTATCCACCTTTATACATTTTAAGATGTCCAGCACCTCCTCCTCTGTAATATGGACACTTTTCAAGATATCACTGTTTATTTCTCCAAGTTCTCTAGTTTCCACATCCTTCTTCACAGCAAATACTGATGTGAAATACGCGTTTAGTACCTCACCTGCCTCCCATGGTTCCACACATAGATGGCCTTGTTGATATGATATGGAATGCACTGCCTGAGAGAGAGGTGGAGGTGGATTCCATAGGAGGTTTCAAAAGTGAGCTGGATATATATTTGAAAATGATGAAGTTAGAGGGATATGGAAATCGGGCTGGGGAATGGGACTAGATAGTTCTTTTGAGAACCAGTAGAAACACGATGGGTCAAATGACCTCCTTCTGTACTGTAAAGTTCTATGATTCTATGTTATGACACACCTCTGAAGCAGACCTCCACACCACTTGTGGAATACTTGTATGTTGAGACTGTTTAATTTAGGCTGAGCAGTAATGAGTTAAAATAATACCTGACTAGGAGCACGAAGTAGGGAAACTTTAGCTTTATGAAACAGTACGTATTGCTGTAACTGCAACCTGCCTTTCCCTAGTCTGAGAAGACACGTAGGATAGATAGCAAAAAGCTATGGCTTGTAGCATCTGTATACTCTTATCTTCACCGCATTCCAATTCAATTAATGTTGCCTAAGCAATGACCTTGCCTTGCTAAAACAGTACAATTGCAATTTGTTTTAACTTGTTTGTGCCACTATATAAATTCTGCTTCTTTTTTGTGCTTGTCGGAGTCTTCAGACCTGACTTTTTGTCAGCGTTGACTCTTGATATCACGAATAAAATCTCTTTGCCTCGAAATCTGGGCCTTTGGTGTGTGATTTAATCTAGTCTCTTCAACAATCCGGCATACTCGGCAGGATCCCTATCTATATATTACATATGTATATATACGGGATCCTAACAAATTGATAAAAAGGGAAGTGAGAGAGGGGCTTCGAGTTTCCCCGGCCAGTGACCCACGTTGAGCCACCCTGATCTGATCTCGGGGAGACTGGAGAGACAGGACGGGCAAGACGACATTTGGAAAACAGAAACTTGTTACGAAATCCTCAAGTTATTATACATGAACTATTGAGACAAAAGAAAGAGTCAAGGAGACTTAAAGGGCTGACTTAGAAAGAGATCTCAGGGTTGCGAAAGAGTGAATTAGAATATAAGAGTACATAGAGTTAAGATATGTAACTATTAAGTATTAACATTCATTTGACTTCCCAGTTTGATCCCTTGGTAAGTGGGAATTGTTAAAGACAATGGGCAACAGAATACGAAAAAAAGCCAAGAGGCCTGAGGTGGAAGAGCTCCCCGTTAAGATGAAGAAGAAAACCATAAAGAAGATCAAGGAAATCGTAAAACAAAGAAAGCTGCTCGGTGACCCATTGGTCCCTCCAGGATCATCCGCCGATAAGGTTTGGCTAGAAACCGGAGACAGCAGGTACTCTGTTACGTTTTCCAGTGATTTGTATGGATGGTCTCATGGGGATTGGCCTTACGGAGGTACATTTGACTTGAAAAAGATACAATTTTGGAAAAGTGAGACAGAAGAGGGAAATGGGGATCCCAATTGGGATTATAATTATATGATTTCCTGCTTTGATAAATGGTTGGACGTGGCGAAACATCATCAGCCTCCGAAACCCAAGAAAGACAAAGTAATGAGATCAAAAAGGGTAATAAGGCCAGTGCCCTGCCGCAGGACTATACCCAAAATTAGAGAAATGTGATGCGGGAATATACCCAAAATCGGAGAGTGCCCCTGCCGCGGGAATATATTCAAAATTAGAACAGATTGATGAAAACAAAGATCAGGTTATGGACGATATTCTGTTGGCAGCTGCCCTCAGGGACCGTCCCGTCCTTATAATGACCTACAACCTCCCCTCCCCGGCTTCCTGAGCTGGGGACCTCTTCGTCCCTGGCCAGTACTTCGGGCATAGAAGGGGTCCAGATGAGGAGTAGGATCGCCACAAAGCAGGATCGCACTCCCGATAGTGACTCTGAGGTACCCATTAGTAGTACAGTTAAACAATATCCCCGTATAATGGTAGGAGAAG